GGCCTCTCGTTTTCTCCTCTGTTTGTCCAGACGCCAGACGCTTCCCTGCCTGCTGATCCTTTTCTGGCATTCAGATCTTGCGGCTGACGGGGCAGTGTGGGGTGGGGAGACGAGACCGCGAGAGGCGAGCCGAGAGCCCGAGAGGGACGGGCGTCAATTCGCGACAGCGGCCGCCGGCCGCGTCCGCCCCGCTCGCACGCACAGTCGCCACGGCGGCTCACGGGACGCACGGGAGACCTGTCAGCGCTCCCGTTTCGTTTTCGCGGAGGGAGACCGGAGCGCAGCAGTACATATGCCCGTATGGTAATGCTGTGGTCAGGCAGTGAAAAAAAAGGGGGGATGTTTCGCTCTTTTTTTTTCTCTCCTTCCCATTATTTCTAGCAGAAGATGCATATACGGGCCCCTTGGGGTATGATTTGGTTGGAGATGAGATGAGATCCGCCTTTACGGAGTACATCACTTTCTTGACGCACACTACCAGGATGGAGATCGTGCGCGTGCCACTGCCGCGTGGTCCCCCCGCTTGCTCCAGAGTCCAGACGGACGGAACTGGTCGCGGCGCGCGGCCACAATCCGCCGTCGCCGTTATCTCCTTTTGCCTTGGTGTCGTGTCGCCTCCCAGCGGCACCGCGTGGAGGCTCCGCTGGTCCACCCGGAAGAGAGCAGGCTGTAAACGCTAGGCAAGCTAGAGGCTGCATGTACGTATACAGAGACAGCCTTGCTCGCCGCTGCTAGCTTCAATACAATATGTCAAGATCAAAGTCAACCCTAGCGACTTGGTATATATATATTGTCAAAAATACAGTAGAAATCCCGTACCAGTTTTTTTTTGGGCTTTCAATAGAAGCGAGGAGAGCAGCGAGGTCGAGGTTTGCGTTTGTAGACGAACGACGGACCGGGCCCGGGTCGTCGTCGTCGTCGCATGCAGCGAGATGGTGTGCCAGACCAGCCGAGGACAGCCGTCTGGGTGCTCGGTCGACGGAGCAAAAGCGAAGGCAAAGGCGAGCAAAAGCGCAGCAGGTGGCACCGTGCATGCATGTCAGGGACGACGACGCACCACAGCCCAGCAGCAGCATGGGGATCCGCAGCCGCCGGGTCCCCATCGATCCGGCCGGCGATGGGACGCGAGAGGCTATATCTATCGTGCCGTCGGATCGGGCACAGGCACGCAACATGCATGCATGGCCCGCCGCGCGCGCCACCCAGATGGCCTGATCCAACACCGTGCAGGGCGGGGCGCGCACTCGCTCGCTGCAGCTGCATAGGTGTTTTTTATTTTATTTTGCCTCTCATCTCTAAGTACAGATGTACGTCGCTTGACCATTGCGGCGCATTTGAAGAGGTAACTAAAATTATTAACGGAGGCTCCTCGTTTGATTCCAAGAATCGAACACAGGACCGGCCGCTCAAACCACTGCGAGCAAGCCAACTGAGCTACGGCTCGTCCTCAACGGCATAGGTGTTGGATTGGTAGTGAGCAGAGTGACTAGAGATGCGCACAGAGGGTTGCATTGGTAGTGGAAGCTGTACGTGTGCACCGTGGGAATCCCGATATTTCAAAAATTTTAGAAAACTCCTAGTATGTATATTATAAAAATATATTTTACAACTAATTTAATGGTATTTATTAAATATCAGTATCTTTTTATACATTTAGTTAAATTTAAAAATCATGGCTCGAAAAAATGATACTCCCTTCGTTCCAAAATAAATATACGTCTCACTTTTCCAGAAGTCAGAACTTTTTCAATTTGACTAGGAATATAAAAAATAATATCAATATTTATAAGTATCACTTTTCCCAAAATAAATATACATCTCTAAATAGGTCTATCATGGAAACATGCTCAATCTAATAATACTTATTACATACATATCACAAATATTAGTATATATATATTTAGTCAAAATTTTCAAGATTTGACTATCCATGAAGTGAGACTTGGGTTTATTTTGAAACGGATGGCTATTTTAGGACACAACAATCATTTATTAAGCGTAGGAGAGTGCTATGAGCTACTCCTTCGGTCACAAAATAAGTGTGCATACATTTATATTGTACTATCTCTGTCCCCAAAAGAATACAATTCTAGAACAGTATCGTGTTTTAGTATATCAAGTTTGACTAATTATATAAAAAAATTATAAATATTTATAGTATCAAACTAATACCACCATTATATTAGTTACGAAATGCATATTTATAATAAATTAATTTAGAGCAATAAATGTGAATACTATTTATTAGAAACTTAGTTAAACATGAATTACTTTTCGTGACACGCAAATCATAGTTGCATTCTTTTAGGGAAACCAATCTAATGAAATTTATTATACATTATAAATAGTAATTTTTTTCTATATAGTTTTACTTCTCAATATGTGAGCGCACTTATTTTGAGACGGAGGGGGTATGACGTTGGAAATTTGGAATGCAAAACCCATCACATCATATAACATGCACGCTTGACGTCTGCGTGGACTGGATTCTCGCCTGTTCTCTTCACGTGACAAGGCATCATCGATCGACGACGGAGGAAAAGATGGAGAAGCTGGTGCGAGAGAGCAGTGCACAGGGGCATAGGAGTATGGTGCAGTACTTGTTTTCCTGTTACCATCGTCCCAGTTCGTGGACCGTGGAGCTCCAGCTCCGGCGCAACGCATCCAGACGTACTGCACGAGAAGTCAGGCGCTGTAGACGGAGACGACACACAGGCCTGCCTATAGCTCGGCGGTCGGCGGCGGCGCTGCTGGTTCAAAAGAGCAAAGGCAACCACGGCTGGGCAGCGCAGTTTGTCAACCCTGCCTGAGTGCCTGTGTACAAATACCGATGATGTTAGCTCGTCGATCGGCCAACGTCAACGCCGGCCCGGCGAGCTTTCAAGTTTACAGAGACCGGCTAGCCGGGTACGGTGGTTAGTACGAAGTACGGGTGTCCCGTAGCAGCTGCTGTTCCGTCCGCGCGTTGAAAACCGAGGAGGAGTACGTTTCCGTTTTCAGACGAGCGGCGGGGCGGGGGTCGTCGTCGTCATCAACGCATGGTGCAGATCAACTGCATGCGGAGAGAAGGAGGTGGTGCTCTGCTCTCTGTCTAAAGAAAAACGCACCATCAGGCATCAGCCACAGTGCGCTTGAGCTTGCCGCAACTTTTCCTTTGCTCCTGTGCTCTGATCCGCATCGCACCGCCCCATCCAGATTCAACGTCGTGGTGCGTGGCAGCTCGTGCCGTGAAACTTGTGCGCCGGGCGGCCGGCGGCCGGGCCACCGCCGCCGGTGCCGGGGCCAAAGTCCAGCAGTGATAGTGGGAGGCGCCGATGTGGCCATGCACAGATGCACAACAAAAACGAACGGGCGCATCTGACGAGGTGATTGATGATGGCAGTCTTATAATCTGTGCTTGTAATAGTATTTTAGCGTATTTTTTCAGCCAAAGGACAGGGCCTCAATCTGAATGAAAAGGTGAAAAGCGCACGCTTGCATGATGCATGCCGAGGTAGTGGAGTCGGCAATGAGTTCGCCTTTGGTTCGTCCACTCCAGAGTCCAGTCCACTGTCCACTGTGAGTCCGTGTCTCCAGGAGAGCACCCCGGGCCGTAAGGCTAAGGCCATCGCTTTTCACTTTCACTCACCATGGACCTGGAGCTTGGAGTACTGGTCATGGTGACAAGAGAGACAGAACTGCCCGCGACGTGCAAGTGCAAGTGCAGTGCACCTGGCCGTGTGCCTGCGTCGTGGCATCTGACTCTGAGATGAGCCGTTCGGGGGAACAACCAACTCGGTACTCGGCTGAGAAACCCAGGCAAGCAAAACCATGCGCCGCCTCGAACGGCACCGCGACAGCGACTCAGCGAGTCGGCTCGGCGGGCACGAAGAAAATGGACCGGCAGCGGCAGCGGCAGCGAGTGCGCTGTGTGTGGCCTGTGGGAGACCGCGGCCCGGCCGGCGGCCGCCGGGGACGGGCCAGGGTCAACAGCGCAGGCCGGCCACCGGGCGAAGCGAAGGTGCTGCTGCTGGGCTTCGTGAAAGACTCACCGTATGGGCGGCGCGACCCTGGGCCTAAGCGTCTTTCTGTGTCCTGGTAAGGGGACGCCGGCCTCCGCAGGCCGCGCAGTAGGAGGAGAGCCTGTGGGCCGGCCGTTTTCCGCGAGCTGGACTACCTTATGAACCCCATTTGGGTCTTCTCAAAAAAATAAAAAAAAACATTTGGAACGCCACAATTTTTTTTCTATTTCTAGATTTTTCTTCCTCTGAAATTAAGTGAAGTTACAGCGTTTTAAATGTTTTAAATGGGCCATACGTGTAGGTCACCTTGTACTCATATGCGAAAGGGCCTGTAGGCGGGAACGCGGAGAACGGAGATTTGAGCCCTTCAACCGGTTTTGCCTTTAACCTCTTTTGTCAGTGTCAGCTAGTCTCTGCTTTCGTTCTGCTTGTTCCACGTTCAGTGTCAGCTATTCTGCTTTAGTTCTGCTTGTTCCACGTACAGACCAAATGTCTTGGTTCATCTCAATTACTCGCTGTTCACATTAGGCTCGCTTCTGGACATCTCCTCATGTATTGGTGTTTAGAAGATGAAAACACTGTCGCGTGTTTCCCCCATTTTGGTTCAAGTTGAAATAACGGACAGCTCTGTACATCTTTGAATTGGTTGATACAGGGTGCAATAGTATCCCTTTATCTAAAAATGCCAAATGATGGAGGAATCTGTTAAGCAAAAATCCCCTTTTTTCTCCCTTCGAAAAGTTGGAGGAATCTGCTAAGTTAAAATCTTGCATACATCTTTCTCACAGAACATGGCTCTCTTACGGCGCAAGTATGTTACAGATATACTGACAGGCACGTCAGCGGTCAAAACTCAAAATGACATTCTGGCATCCCAGTATATAGCACTTTGCAACCTAGCATAACAAATACTACTGCATCACACTATGACACTAACAATCAGTCAAAAGAACACTAGAAGCACCTCCAATCAGCAACAGATATACATATGCTCCGCATCTAGCTGTTGTACCTGCAGAGCACCCTGCATTTGAGCAGCCTGTCCTGGACATAGAACCCAGGCATCACCATGAGTTTCACCTGCGACGACGACGGCGGATGGTTCTGCGACCGCTGCTTGTCGAACAGCACGTCCTCCATGTACGTCTGATCGAACGCCCTGTTCTCCTCGACCCGCAGGATCGTGAGCGGCGGGCTGAAGGAGAACGCCAGCAGGTGGAGCAGCCAGATGCACTTGGACGCCACGAAGAAGCACTGCAGCAGCTGCTCGGCCCACGGCCACGACCAGTTCAGGGTGGACACGATGTGGCTCATCTTCTGGTCGCAGAAGCGGCTGAAGTCCTCGCAGTGGTACTCGGTGCCCTTCTTCAGGACCTCGTTCCAGCTCAGGTTGCGCAGCGCGACAAATGAGGCGAAGTTCTCCTGCCGGTCCTGCTTAGGGTCGAGGCACTTGGGCGACCCGTTCTTCTGGAACGTGCAGTTCTCGAAGTCTTGGTACATTGCTTGGTTCATCAGAGCTTCAAGGTGGTACAGCACTAGTTTCGGGTGCTTGTCACTAAGCGTGATTTGATATGGCTGTAGGAGTAAATTTAGCTTATCTGATAGTCCGTTGTCAGCATCTTCAACTTGCTGTATCAAGACCTTGCAGAACTGTTTTATGGAAAGACGGGCCTCGGATACTATCTGCAAAAACCCTTCCACCATAACTTCATGACTGACGGGCAAGGAATTGTCTCTGCTCCCACTGACTGATCTAGTCGATCTCTTTGAGTGACATTGCATGTTCTTTGTGCTCGTCGCTTGTTTTAGAGCCTTCTTCAATTCCGAACAGTATGCTTCCAGGCTCACTAGCTTGGTAGTCAATTCTCCTAGTGATAATTTCATCTCCGATACTTCTTGCAGGGCAGCGTCCCTATGCTCATTGGCCTCAACAACCTCTTTCTTCAGGGACTCCAGTGAGAACACACCCCAGTCCTTCAGAAGCTGTGACATGTTCTCACATTCGATGGTGTTCGGTGACATATCTGATTTCAGTTTCCTCTTTGACTTCGGTAAGAGCCAGGAGAGAATATGTGGCCCTTTGTGCCTTGTCCGGGAGAAGGCAGCAGGGTGGTAGTTTGACAGCGGCGCGGTGCTATTGAGGTTCTTCAAGGACTTGGCATCAGCTTCAGTGTCCCGACTGATAGTTGCAGGCTTGCGGGTATTACACGTTGTAATGGCCTTAAATTCAGTTAAGTCTGTCAATCTGCTGGCTGACCTAATAAAACTGTCAGCGGAGAGGGCGGGTTGAAGGAGTGATGGATGGTTTCTGCATGCCTTTCTGTTCCCGCAGGTGCTCATTTGATGAAGAGAAATGAAGCTCGCTGTTTGACGAAGAGAAGGTGTTGTGATTCTCAAAATCTGAGAAAGCCACCTCGTCTTCCAGGCCATCATGGTCCAAACCGATGCCACTCCAGTTCTCGGACAGACTCCTGTTATCTTGGCCAATGTAGTTCATTCCACCCAAGGGCTCTTCGTCATAAGTCTGGGAATTCATCAAAGCAAGCAGCAAGGTTTATGTTACAATACGAACTGGAACTGAAAGTACAGCAGCATGAAGCAAATCATGCACGATCCATGGGAAAATGTTGTCCAGCAGGCAACACATTGAACACAACCATTTAATGTTTCATAATTTCAGTGGAGACATGATACTACTCGTACCATACTAGTATTGATCAATTGATTCTTCATGTTGGCGAGTGTCAGTCAGTACTCTACTTGTATGCTGGCATCCCCAGCCATTTCTGGGCCCTTGTGGCCATACTCTCATGCAGTACGCTTTCTTAAAAGCAGGGTTCTACCTATTTCTAAAAGTAAAAACCAATTGATTATGCACATCGGTTTGGAGTCCAGGAGACCCTGAATTTTTATATTTTCATGTAATGATGTTCCACTATGCAGCAAAACAACCTTTTCAGACAACCTGACAGCTTAAATAAAGTTCAGTTCAATGCTGAGGAAATGGCTCATTATATTCCGCCAAAGCGTATGAGTAGAATGCTCTTAGATGTTGACAGAAAACAAATTAAGTAGCAAAATCATTCCTCTGCAACTGTACGTACAAAAATGAGAAAAGATTTATCTTCACAAATCCTTGATTTTCTGTATCTTAGTTGGGAGTTACTGAAAACACCTAGACAGCAGATCCACCAGGTTGCTTCAGTAAAATGAAATGCAATCAAGTACCCGCTTATACCGTTCTGGTCTTCTAGCATGACTCCAACCAAACTCCATCGATTGAACTGTAATCTACGCCTAGAAATCCAAGTGAACCTCTCAAAAGAACATTGTCGCAACTAGAAGAACAATCTAACAGCCACAAAATTTGCGAAAACATCGGCATGGAAAGGCAGGACATGCGAATCCAGCAGCAAAGGAGGCACCTTTCAGGCTTTCACACACAAACATTCGCTTCCGGTACCAAGAAACAAACAAACAAACGTGGCTGCAAGAAGTTTGAGAGGTTCGCCGGTCCGCTTACCGGGGCAAACACGGGGTAGTCCTCGGCGGCGGCGGGCAGGAGGCCCGGCCTGGTGAGCGCCGGCGACGCGGCCGGCGGCAGGCGGATGACGGCGGGGCTGCGGCTGGCGCTGGCGTAGGTCCCGGCATTGGAGGCGCCGCCGCCGCCGCTCTGGAGGAGCGCGGCGTGGAGGGCGCGCAGCTCGGCGGCCTTGGTGACTGCGGCCTGGATGTCCAGGCGCGAGGTCGGGAGCGCCTTCGGGAGGTAGGCGGCAGAGGAGGAGGAGGCGGAGGCGGTCGCGTCCGCGGCCATGGCACCGGCGCGGGTCAAAGGCCGCGCCTTTGGCTGGTGGCTTGGGCTGCGCTGCAGTTACTGCGGCTGGCCGGACGGAGGCGTGGAGTGGAGGCGGGGGGCTCTCGTCATCGGGGGGCTGGAAATTAATGGAGTGGAGACTGAGACACTGTCACACTGTGGATGGTGGATGCCGTGCCGCAGGCCGAGAGGGGAAGAAAGGAATAATGGCCCTTGTTCCTCCTGGTTGGTTGGCTGTTTTGTTTTAAGCCCTTTGTTTTATTATTACTTGCAGAGAGACTTTGGGCCTCGTTTAGATCGTAAATTTTTGTAATCTGGACACTGTAGCACGTTTCGTTTATATTTGACAAACTTTATCCGATCATGGACTAACTAGGCTCAAAAGATTCGTCTCGTGATTTACAACCAAACTGTGTAATTAGTTATTTTTTTACCTACATTTAATATTCTATGCATGCGTCCAAAAATTGATGTAATGGAGAGAGAGTGAAAAAAATTGGAATTTTGAGACAATCTAAGGCCTTGTTTAGCCCTCAAAATTCCAAGTTTTTTCACTCTCTCTCCATCACATCAATTTTTAGCCGTTTGCATGGAGCATTAAATGTAGGTAAAAAAATAACTAATTGCACAGTTTAGTTGGAAATCACGAGATAAATCTTTTGAGCTTAGTTGGTCCACGATTGGACAATATTTACCAAATAAGACGAAAGTGCTACTATTCATCGGGTTAAAAAAAATTTCAATCTAAACACAAGGCCTAAACAATGCCTCGTAGGAAATGAAATCTCATGCTCGCTCACCGGCTGCAGGTTGTGAGGGGAGGGGACGATTGTGTCAGCGACCTATTGTACCGGCTTCAGTTAGATAGCGATTAGCGATAGGATCAGCTCCTTCGGTTGGTTAGTTGCAAGTCAAATTCTGGCATCTAGGCGTCGGTTAGATTTACTTGGCTAGATCCGGCAACATGTATTATGTATTAATGTATACGTACTTATACACTGTCATACCTATGAACTCGAGCATTCTTCTTACAGATTGTGTGTAGTACTAAACGTAGTAACGCTTTTCTCTGCTTTGTTTGATCCGTGTGATTCAGGCTGCTGCTAATGGTAATGAAGAGGGCCAGCAGCGGATTTAAAGATGTGTAGCCTTGTACGTATAGGATGGAGCACATGGTATCAATGGTCAATGGAAGAGTGCATCTTAAGGCAGGGGGCCATCATCAAAACCCTTTCCAGTCTGCCATGGCATGCTATTCAGTGGTGTAGCCGGGATTTGTAGCTACGGTGGTCCATTGTCAAAAATTTTGTTAACTAAATTTAACATGTTGGTACATAAGTATATCAATTATACAAAACACAATTAAAGAAAAAATAGGCATACAAAGTTTTTCAACTTATTCTTGATAAAGGTCATTGCAGAATATATTCTTTGATGCATATTTTTGAAAAAGAGAGGCAGTATCACCACTTCTTTTCATATTTCTATAAGTCTGCAAGAGAATAAAAAATATTGTTTTAATTTACCATTCCAATAATCAATTTTACACACAAAAAAATCTTATCATGCAATTAAATTAAATAGTCCAATGCGACCGTGCAATAATATAATCTAATGACACAAAATAAAATAAAGTTTTATGTATCTTGTGGCTTGCGGCTTCTGAACGTATGATGCCTAATGGTGGATGAATCACCGCCCGGTAGCCACCAGCAATTGCTGATGCGTTCTGCTCAAGTTAGGGCTAATTTACTTATTCTCTAGCTCTAAGGAGAGATTGGAAGAGAAAAAAAGGAAACATGACTAAACGAGCAGGCTAATTGGATGAAGATGTTGAGACGTATACCTGTAGATGACTCACGTGTGCGGCTGCTCGTCGTCCGGCGCCTGCCGCCGACCCGCCGCCGCCGCTATCGTTTGGTATATCGAATTCTATGAAGCACAACTCATCAAGGGGATACGAAGGGGCGCATAGCGGCTGCACTGAGAATTACGAAGGAGCGCAAAACGGTCGTAGGGCGTATCCGATCTGACTGAATTTTCCTATATCTATGGGCCTGGTATGCACTGGTGGTCCACGGACCACCCGGACCACCATGTAGCTCCGCCCCTGATGCTATTTCTTTAGAGCAAATATAAGAAGCTGATGTAAAGGGGTCATCATAAAAATGTCACATCAGATTTGTACTAACATAGAATAGAGAGTATAAGAGAGAGCAAAGAAGGCAGCTAATGAATAAGCTCCAAGAAATTTTGCGAGGGAATGAAATGGACCAGGTAAGTGGGCTTTAGAGAAGCTATAGAGATGATAATGATAATGGCATATACCCCTTTGTTTGGGAATAAATCAATTCCTTTAGTCATTTTAAGTCAAACATTTTCATGTTTGACCGAATTTATAGAGATGAGCATTAATAGTTATGATACCAAAATAAGTATTGTATAAAAAATATCTATTATGGTGTAGTATCTAAATATACTAATTTGGTGTCATAATTGTTGGCGCTCTTTTATATAATAAATCTAGTCAAGATTAAAAGTTTTGTGTGTGTGTGTGTGGTGTGTGTGTTGGGTGGGGGAGGGGGGGAGAGAGAGAGAGAGAGGGGAACCTAAGTAAGGTTAAAAGTGTCTAACTTAAAATGACTATAGAAAATATAATTCAATCAGGGACACGGAGAGTACAACCATGAATTGTTTTTATCAATAGCTAGTACGTAGTAGTAATTGTTATTAAAAGGCTCCAAGAACGAATGCGGTCTCCTGTTTTTTGACGGCTCAAAGAACGAATGCGGTATCAAAGAATTCTCCTGTTGCTGCATCATATATCAGTTATTACTGGTGCACCCCCCACCACCTCGGGTGGATCTCCAGTACGTGATGCAGTCCCCGTGCCCGTTAGGTGTGGCGAACGCGCGCACAGGAAGGAAGGTGTTCCTGTGGACTATGGAGCACGCCGGCCCCACGTACGTCCGGTGCGCAATGGCAACTATCGTTTGTCATCGACACCGCCAGCACCCAGCAGCCCGGAGCAGCGACCAGCGAGCGAGGAGGGGGCGGAGCGGGCGGGGCCGTTCGCAATTGCAAAGCTGTGTGGCCCAGCTTCGGAAGAAGAAGAACGCAATCTAATCCACGTTAGTTACGATCGTCATCAGACATGTCACGAATAATGAAGAAGTTAAGCAGAACTTATCCTATCCAATTATGTAACAGGTGTAAAGTTTTGGGGTGTCACATCAGGTGTTACATGTGGATGTTGCATGAGGTACTCAGATATTAATAAAAAAATAAATTACAGAATCCGTCGGTAAACCGCGAGACGAATTTATTAAGCCTAATTAATCTGTCTTTAGCACATGTGTTACTGTAGCAATTTATTGTCAAATCATGGACTAATTAGTCTTAAAATATTCGTCTCGTAAATTAGTCGTAATCTGTGTAATTAGTTATTTTTTAGTCTATATTTAATACTTCATTCGTATATCAAGCATTCAATGTGACATGATGTAAAGTTTTGAGGCAGGAACTAAAGGGCTTAAAAAAATGAGCTCAACTTTGCTTAAACACTGAGACGAGCAGAGCCTGATCTCATCCGAGAGCTTTGTGGGAGCGGAGCTGGTGGCATTCAGCGAGAAAAGGTAGCGGGGCCATGCTCATGCATGGCGCGCGCTTGGACTGACATGACGCGGCACCACTCCGACCGCCCGCCAATCCGCCAGGTTTTGCTTGGGCGCATGCATGCACAGCGACAGCGATAGCACACATGTGGTGTGGATGTGGACCGACCTGTGGTCCGTGCTAGCTGCTGTGCCTTCTGGGCTTTCTTCGGTTTCTGTCTCGCGTCGCTGGTGGAAATCGGAGAAACTAAACTACCGTTAGTATCGTAGAAAGAAACAAAGAAAGAGAGAAAGAAAGATAGATTCACCAAATAAGAAAGAAAGAAAGAAAGGTGACGATGCTTGCCGTGATCTCGTGGACATGCAAGCAAAGGCGCCTCTGCTGATGATGAGCTGCGCGTGTGTGCCTATCTTCGCTCTCACTTTCTCTGGTCTGGAACCGAGAACGGAAAGCGCGCGCATGTGTTGTGGCCACACCGTGTGGGCGACCGTCATCATCGTTAATCAGGCGGCGCGTGCAGCTGCAGGGCGTCCCCATCACTCTGTCTGACAAGGAAAACAGGAAATGCTAGCCGAAGCAAGTGCCGAGAACGAGGAATCTACTCTATTCCTCCCTCCAGATACGCATCTTCCCGGGGATCGTCGGTTTCCGTTGCGGGCGGGCGCACCGCGACTATAAATGTCGATGCAGCTGGAAGGCACGAGGGCACGGCACGGCACGGCACGAAATCCGTTTTTTTAGTCTGACACGAGCACGGCCTGGTCCGATGACATGCAGGCCCAAGCTGGCCCAGCCCGAGGAAGCGGACCGTGCCTGGGCCGCTGCTCAGGCCCGTGGGCTGGCACGGCCCAGCCTTCGACGGTCGGCCCGGCAGCGGCCCGGCCTACCCCCTCTCCCTCCTCACTCCTCCTCCCCTTCCCAAGGTCGGCCTGCTCCCTTAGCTGGCCCGGCCAACCGGCCTGCTCCTTAGCTGGCCCGCCCCCACCCCCTGATCCCTAACTCCCTTCCCATCCCCACGTCGCTTCCCGTGTCCCCAATTCCCCATCCCCGGCTCCCCGCGCCGCTTACCGCATCCTCATCCCGTGGCCGCACTATGGCACTAGGCTCGCGCGGACGCATGTCGCAGTCGCGACCTCGTCTCCCCCTCGCCCCCGCGCCAATAGCCGCCTCCTCCACGCCCGCACCATCGACGGCGGCCACCTCCTCGCCCCCCGCACCAACGGCCGCATGCTCCTCCTCCGTGGTCAAAGCCTCCTGCAGTCCCGCGTGGCCGCACCGCAGGCGCCACCCTCGAGCGCGGCAGCCTCAAGCGGCCGATCTGAGGCCGCTGCCGACCGTGCCCAGTGCCTCTGCATCGCCTCGTCATCGCGCCTCTGCATCGCCTCCCCGGCCTCCTCCACGCGGTCACGTGCCTCGACGCCATCACCGCCTCCGCGTCCTCCTCCACGTCGTCGCCTCGAGCGCCACCACGGCCGTAGGACAATGCCTCGACCTCGTCCTCCGTCCTCTCTCCCTTCCCCTGCTGATGTGGGCCTCGGGCCGGCTTAGCCTGCAAAAAAGGCCGTGCTTTCTGGGCCGGCCCGGCATGGAAAGTGGCCCGACGGACCGTGTCTGGGCCGTCGGCCAGGCACGGTGGACTATGGCGGCATAGCCCGGCGGCCCGTCGTGCTCTACCGTGCCGTGCCCTACTAGGCCATTCCGGGCCGGCCCGGGCGGCCCGAATGGACATTTATAACCGCGACGCACGCGGCGGCAGACTTTTCTTTCGCCGGGGCCGAAACACACGCACGGGGACCGCGGTCCGCGAGCGAGGTGGCTGTGTGATTGTGTTGTGGGGGCGTCGTGAGATGGAGCGGGGCAGACGGGCAAGCCAAAGCAATGGGCAGCAGCAGCAGGAACCGCGGCCGCGTAAAGACGCCCGGTGAGCGGCGCCGGCCCGGACGGGCCCAGCGCTAGCTGCTGCTGCACCTAGGGCGGGCCTGACCCCAGTGTCAGTGTCAGTGTCAGTGTCAGTAGCAGTAGCCTACCGCCAAGGAGGCGGAGGGCACCAGTGCAGCACCGGTACCATACCACGGAGGGGTTGAGATGCCAAGCCAAAAGCAGGCAGACGAGCCAGCGCTGCCTGCCCCCTGCTGGAGCCGACGCCGGCCGCTTTCCGCTGCCGCAAAGCAGGTAGAGCCGCAGAGGCAGGCTTCTGTCGCCCCCTAGATCTCACTCACTCACTCACTGTGGCCCGCCTGCAGGCCGGTCCCCCGTCCCTCGCCTAGTCGCCTTCCTTCCTGCTGCTCCGCGTGCTCCCTCGCACGGCGCACGCACGCTCCGTCGTCGACTCGTCGGCCTCGGATCTCTGTCTCTGCCGGGGCGAGGCCGCGAGGGCTGCATTTGCATCGGCGGTGGGCTGCCCTCTGCCTGCGGGCTGCAACATGTTGCGCCGCTCAGGATAACTGGGCTGGGCCCTCGGGTACGCTGGGCCGCTCTCGATTGTATCCGCGTCACGCGTTTCAGAGAGGAACAAGTTTTATTTGCCCTCCCTCAACAATCACATAGGTTTTGCTAAAAAAAAATGGCACATAGGTTTGATTTATCTTCCTCACTTAGGAATTCGGTTTTCTAGACTCCTTCAACTATTGAAACCGTCCGATTTATCTCCTCGAGCGGTTTGGAGAGTGGTTTTAGCTGATAGTTAGTCACAAAGGAGGTAAATCAGACTTTCACGATAGTTCAAGAAGATCAATTAGATTTTATAAAAAAAAATTGTAGAAATAATTTTTCCAAAACCGTTTTGTCCCCTAGAACCCCTCAGGTATAATTTTTGAATGCTTGAATGAGCCATATTACAGGACGATGGGAGTACGACATGTAATCTACATACTACATGTTTCCTATAAAAGGTAGAAATCATGTTGTCTTCTTAATGCATTAATTTTATAAAGTGTTATTTTGTTCCACACCTATGTAAAAAGGTATATAAATGTTCTCATCTCATTTTATTAGACTAGAACAATTAATGTGCATAAAAAATTGACTTGTCATTTAGCTTTTGAGCCATGTTTATGCCTTACGAATGTGTGAGGATTTTTTTTTCATGTTGCAATGTATAGATATATTTGCTAATCTAATGCTAAAACAAGATTTTCCGAAAATTGCAGTTGGCATTCTATCTTGTTTGTTAAAAATTACATGGCCTATCAATAATATTCAGAGAAAATTAATGTTTTGGTCCTAAATAAAGCTGTGCTTAGTTTTTTGGGCCCTTTTTAGTTTGAGCTTTCCTATCTGGCCCTAAAATGAATTTCATTTAAGTTTCTTGGCCCTTCCATTATTTGTAACGGTGTTAACTTGTATGCGAAATTACATTTTTACCCCTGACACCGAATGTAACGGTTGGAGTCTAGAGCAGCGATCGGAGTCCATGTGATGAGGTCATACAGCCTTTGGATTACACAGGTTTGGTTGGGACACTTTTATATTTCATTTCGAATTAAAACTTAATTTTGAGCATGTGCTTTGTGAAGAAACTTTTGATTTTACCTACAGGTATATACACTGATAAATTTCTTGAAATACTACTTTACATACCATGAATATAGATGTTTTTTTTAGTCCATTTTAAGGCTAAACACCTAAGGCTCGGATATAACGTTACGAGAAGAATTTTTTAATTTCAATTCAAAACTACAAGAGGTATGATGCAACTCAATTTCGTACTACGTCCGCAAAGTTTAGCTAATCACGCGTATGTGCTGGCGTGACTATAATGGTTAATCGTGCATAACTTTTAGCATGACTAAAAAGGCTATTTTTACAAATTTATTAGTTTGATACATGTTTTTTATAAAAGCTTGTTTTTTTAGGTTATTCAAATAAAAAAAACGGTTTCCTCTGCCCTCTGTTAGGCCGCCGCCGCCTCGGTGCTTCCTGAGCACGGAGTGTTCGTGCAATCGTGCGAACCCTGAAGCATGTAGCGTTCTGCATCTGCCGCTGTTCCTTTGCCAGATGATTCCGTAAAAATTGTATTTTTGTTCCTTCGGCGAGTTTGGTGAACCGGATCTGCTAATTATTTGTTTGAGTTATCGCGGCATGTCTTCATCGAGTTCTCGGAATCGCCCAGGGACCTCGGTTGCGTGCAGCCGTGCGCGGCGGCGGCGGAAGGTTAGCGCCGCCGATTCATCCCGTGGGCGTCTCTGCACGAGGATTTGGTGAGCCTAGTCGGATGGCGAGTGCTAGCCGGCGACTTCCGGGACTACATCCGCTTCCAAGCCGTGTGCCGCCACTGGCGGTCCAGCACAACCTGCCCGCGCGGCCTCGGCATCGTCGATCCGCGCTTCTACCCGCGCCGGTGGATGATGCTGCCGGAGGGCCGCGGCCTGCACCCAGGCCACGGCAAGCTCCGCGGCTACGTCCGCTTCTTCAACCTCTCGACTGGTGCCTTCGTCCGCGTCAAGTCCCCCTTTTCAAGGATCACTGCGTCCTCTACTCTGTCGACGGCATCCTCCTGCTGCAGAGGGACCATGACACTGCCATCCGCCTCCTTCACCCCTTCACCGGCGATACCGCAGAGTTCCCGCCGCTGGAGACCTCCTCTCGCGGTACGTGCGCTGCCGCTCGGAGGGGGAGATGTGGCACTTTCTTAGAAAGATCTGTGCTGCCAGCATCAGCGTGGGTGCAGATGGACTCGTCAGAGTAATGATGCGGCCAAATCAGGTGTATAATCTATGCTTTGCTACCTCTGGTGATCAGCAATGGAGGGTGACAACAACCTGGGAGCGCAGCAACCTTTCTTCAAATTTGCCATTCCAAGGAAAGCTTTATGTGTTGCTGCGAGCTGAAACAGTTTGAGATGAGCATGAGGTCATACAGATCGACCCACCCCAGCAGGAAGGTACGGACATTGGCTCTTTATCGGTGCCATCACCAAAGTTGGTTGCAAAATTTAAATGGCCAACTAGCGACACAAGCTATCTATCGTATTACTACCATCTGGTAGAATGCAACTCAGAGATTTTGGTGATTGGCACAAAATGGCATGCGGTTTGCTATTCAGTTTACAGGCTAGCTGATCTTATGCTGGGAAGGACTGTCCCTCTGACATCCATAGATGGCAATGCACTCTTCATTGGTAGGAGGTCAGTCTGTATCAGCTCTAAGGTGTTTCCTACCATTGTGCCTGACACCATTGTCATGCGCGAGTCCAAAATTTATCTTAGTCAATACCACCTCAGTAGTGGCACATTATCACAAGCAACAGATGGAGTAATCGCAGAAGAAAAAGATATTCCAGGTCCTTATAGCATCATGTGCCATATCATAACCTGCTGCTCTCCTCCATACTGGTTGGTGCCCTGGTTTTCGTTTTCAATCTTTGTTCAAGTAAATTGCGACTGTTCCTTTCACTTGAACATTTTATTTATGTTGCTATGCAAGCTCACTCCCTTCCCCTATCCTCTCTGCTGTAGGAACAAAGGGAAGATATTATGTAAGGAGATGGCGCCCAAATGGAGGGTGAAGAAAAAGTTTCGTTATGGGGTAAGTCTCACCTATAGTGCAATGATTCTGTTGTATTTTATGCATCTTTTACTGCTGGGGTTGCCATATTTCACCAAATAATAAAAGCTTGCCGTTTTTTGCTGAAAGACACGGAAGAAACTTATCTTTGCTGCTGAACACAATAAATATGGTTTAATGTTCTCAATGGATTTTTTTAACATTTACTAGAGGACAATTAATCCTGCGTAGCAGCAAATATACAAAATGTTGTATTAGTGTCTAATAGCAAAGATTTGTTTTTTTGGGTTCTTTTCAGCAAGAGTGACATGTTTTGAGTGTCCTATGGCAAAATTCTCCTCTACACAGCTTTGTGTGCCTTGTACAGCTTCTTTTATTTTATTAATATAAAAGCTTACAGTGGGGGCTTCCCCTGCTGTACTATTTCAAAAAAAAATCTCCTTTACAAAGGCTCACCACAGTTAATTAATTCCTTGGGTTTTATAAAGTAGTAAAGTGACACAGAGCACAGTCTCAAATCAGCAGGGTAGCTGTAGATTTTGCTTTTAATTTGTATCATGTAGCAATATGTATTCATACGACATACCATTCTCTACTGGGGTTGGTAAACTGCTAAAAAATTCTGTATTTACCAGTGGTGATTGCCTACTTTGTCAAAAATTTACTGATCTTTTTATTGGCATTGGTTATAATTATTGCTAGTGTTGTTATGTACAACACAAATTATTTAGGTAAAATTCTTAACAAGTTAATAAGTTTTGGCTACAAAAACGAACATATCCAATGAGAAAAATAAGATGTTCAGTTCAGCTTTGTATTTGCATTTCACCACATATATGGACTTTTATTTGTCGCGACAATAGTCACAGAAATCTTGTCGGCTGGGTCACGGGTGTCTAAAAAGTAAACCATGGGTTGATGAACCTTTGTATGCCACGTATTGTAGTTACAGAAGATAAATACAGAGTATTAGGAAAAAAAAAGAACAAGGCACACTAAATTGGGCAGCATATGGTGCCCATTGAGCCTACTAGCCACTAACTTAACCCTAACAACGTCACTCACGAGACAGCTGCCTTCTCCCTCGTGGCTCTCTTCCTCGCCTCCTGTCTCGTGTGCTCTAATCCATATATAGAGCCAGAAAGTAACACTAATGGCCTTGATGTCCAACTGCAATACAATTTGATCAACCATGCATCCTCCTACCTGAACGCAGAGAGCACCTATGTTCAGTGCACTCTGTCTTCTTAGCTACCTCTCCAAGCATTGCAGCCACAGTTAGCACGCATTGAAATTTAGCAATGGTTGTCGTTTGTAATTTATACACAGTTTCGATCACTATGACTTATTGCCTCTTAAATTTTTGACATGTTAATGATGAACTTAATCAGCAAAGAGAAATGTATTAACACCTCCAGTGTCTTACCATCTCGATCACACTATGATCACGCTATGACCTATATTACCAAGTTTATTGAAAAATGTATTAACACGTTCAATTTCAAACAATTGCACTATCAAAATAAATGTATCTAATGAATGTATTTGTACATTTTTTCTTTAAACTTGGTCAAAAGCTAGAGAAGTTTGACTTAGGACAAAGCTAAATTGACTTCAATTTAGAATGGAGTGAGTACTACTGGTGGTTGCCAATTTTGTCAGAAATTACAGAAGAAAAGCTTTGTTTGTATTAGTTACAAGCCATTGTCATAATGCATGGTCACATTGTTTACATGTGTTTTTGGGCTAGGGAAGGAAAATATTCAGTGAGGGAAATAAGATTGTTACTTGTTCATCACTGCATTTGCACTTAAACAAACAAATGGACTATTAGTAGTTAGCGGTGAAAATGGTCTCACAGCTGGTAGTAGAGAGCTACCAAAGGACATAGAAAGTAACGGCCTTGATATACGAGAATACAACACAATCTGATCAGCCACCCATCCACCTACAGCCTGTTTGGGAGGCCGTATCGTATCGTGGATTATTTACTGCTAGCTGGTTTGGTGTGAGAGAAAAACGCTGTTCCCGGCTGGAAATTTACGATCGTTTACGAGCAAGCGAACATGCTGCTAAGCACGGAGAGCATGCATGAGCATTTATGTCAGAACACCGTTTTAGGTACCTTGCCAAACACTGCAACCACAATTAGATCCAGTTGAAATTTCGTCACAGTTGTCATTTATGATTGTGATGATGTCTGTATTTTAGTCATAAGTGACTTTACCTTGCAATATTTTTGTTCATGCTGAACTTATAATATCAAAGAGAAAACAAGGTATTTGCAGTTGGTATGTTTATTAGAGAATCCAGTTTGTGCAAAGAAGCAAGACAAATGATCATGTTGATTTCACATCTAGACCACACCTTTCTGTCTTGTACATATTTATTTTGTCGAATAGGAGAGTTGTGTATCATTAAATTTATAGTACTAAGAAACTTCATATATAGGATCTCAGATTTTGTACCTCTTTGTGTTTTCTAATATTTTATATTTGATCAGATTGGTTCAGTTTACAGTCACTGACTTGCACCTACTTTTCTACTTTGTCATCCTAGTCCTAGGCATAAGGGCGTCCCCAACAGAGATTTGAGCCGGCTATTTGAATGCTGACGAGGATCTAATCTGACGTGGACCTATGAAAAAGAAGAGAGAGAAGAGTCACCAGTGACACTAAATCGCCGGTCGATTTACTTCACCCGATAAAACACAGAGGAGAGCAGTGGGACCTATAACCTGCAGAAGGCTTCAAAGTCTGCTCCGAAATCCGTGTCACTGCAATTTCGTTTCTCTCACCTCCAGATCAGCTATTGGCTGAAACTTGACTGAAAACACTGTTCTGACTGAAATGTTGTAAGAGAAAAACACTGTTTCGACTAAAAAAAGCCGAACAAGCCAAATTTAACGGTGCTGTTGCGGACGCCCTAAACGGCTCCTGTACCATGATGGATTGGTGGCGATGCGCGGTTTTCCTTGCCTTGCTTTTATGTATCTTGTTATTGTCGTCGAGTTTTCCTTCCCCTACAACTTATATGTACCTTGTTATTGTCGTTGTGTCTCTCACAGATGCTGCACTGTAACAAAATTATTATGTCTGTAGGATTCCATATTTAGTCATGTAACTTCATTTCCAAACAGCCATTGCAGTTGCCTTGGTACTTGCCGTGGAGCTAATTTTAACTGTTTAATTTTTAGAAAAAAAGCCATGAAATCTCTGGAAGGTCCCTCGGCAGTGATCCGTCAGCTTTGCCTATTTACCTAGACCTTTTCTTTTTACTCATCCCAGGCGAGCCAAACCTCCAATTTTGGACAAACCTGTCACTACCACCTTTTTTTTATCTTTTTGTTTTAAAAAAACGGATCAAACAGGAAAGTTGTTGATTATATTAAAAAGAGAAGAGAAGTCCAAATTAGATAGAACACAACAATGACGATGACCTAGCTAACAACTGTAAGCAAACATGAAAAACACAAAACACAACAACTGATTTGTTTGGGACCTCAATGCATGCCGCACTATTACTCTAAAGCATACCCGGATGAAGAGGCCCTTTGAGATAAAACCATATGAGGCCTGGATGAAGTGGCGCTTTTAGATAAAAGTTGTATGACACGGGTGATCACTCCTTTGATGCATACGTGGCATATGCAGGGGAGGTGCAGGTTTGAGTGCTTGATATTTTTTTTTGGCAAAATAGGTTTGAGTGCTTGATGTAAATAAATGAGAACTAACTATTGTATTTCATGATCCATGGTTGTATAAAGGTTTTGAAGTCGTCTTCAAGGTTTAGTAAATTTTTTGTATCATTTACTTTTCTTTTGCATTCCATACAAGTTAAGTTTTACTTCCCGATTTACTATACTTAGTTATCTTGCCGAATAGTTGTGTTAGTATCATGATGAAGTTAGCATATACTCCGTCCGTTCCAAATTATAAGATATTTTGTTTTTTCTAGATTCATAGCTTTTGCTATGCACCTAGATATATGTTATGTCTAGATAAATAGCAAATGCTATGAATCTAGAAATGCCAAAATGTCTTATAATTTGGGATAGAGAATGTATCTTGCTTTTGTTACTTATGAGGATCTTGCCTTATGAGAGTCGTCCCTTGCTATCCACTAGCTTAGAGGAACTCTTCCTTTTCATCAAAGGGAGAGTTATATGTTTGACTATAAGGAAGATGATTAGAATCTTACATAGCTTATTAGATAGTTTGCCTTACGGATCATCGTGGTAATTAACAGGCGGTGACATCCCTATCTATCCATTGCATTCCACCATATTCGTGTAGCCTCGTATGGTTCTTATTAGTGCGCTCAGGTAGGTCTCTCCATCCCATGTACCTAGTTTTTCCGTGCAGCCACAAAGCAATGATTTCTCATTGTCCTCCTAATTCGTTATACGGTTGTAGCTAGATTTATATTAATTTTGTTTAGCTCCTAACAAAAAAACCGTTTATGAATCGTTCTCATCTCATCGTCCTTCTAATTCGTTATACGGTTGTAGTTACCTTTTGGCTCTCCTGTGTGTTAGCTTTTTCATACACCTTTTATCTTGCCTAATCAGTCTTAGCTAGACTAGATTTATTTCGTTTAGCTCCACCTCGTCTATAGTTTAGATGGTATACAAATCGATGGCATCCTTGGGTTTGTTCGCAGGTGGAGCCCGTGGCGGCCGTGGTGGACCTGATGGTGCTGATGCCGGGGCAGCGGTACCCGACGTTCCTGGCGCAGCCGGCGCCGCTCGCGCCTTGCCCAAGGGAAGGCGTGCTCTGGCCTTCCCACGACCATCGCCGCTCGTTTGTGCCACCGTGATATATATTCTTCTTCTTCTTCTTTCTGTAAGTCCGCAAGTATGTACAGAGGATCATGTAAAATGCAGGGGCCTAGCTTTGTTCAAGGCTTATTAAATGACCCAATGCCAATGCGTACGTAGTTTCAAAGAATTAGTAACTGGGCCGGAAAATGCTCTGGATAAGTTTGGCCCATCGTGTAGCTGGCCCATCAGTTGGGGTGGGTCATCTGCGCTTTTGCAGTCTACCGCTGCGATTTTTTTTTTAATTTTAACACTTTTTTTAACTAATTTTAAATCTAACACCTTTTTTTTAAACTAACACTTTTGGCCGCGCCTATTGTCATGGCGTGGCGAAACACCTGTGACGCGCCATGCATGGTGGCGCGGCAGGAGGGTGACGTGGCGAAGACCGGGGCCACTGACCGTTGACGTG